AATAAATCTAGACACTCAATTACTATTCCTCCTATTATCTTACCTAATTCAAAACTCTTGATGTCTCTCATAAGTTTCGTAGTCTAGGTTTTATCTTTGATTCTACTATGTCTCTCTCTTCTCAGATTAATAGTGTTGCTAGAAGCTCTTACTTTCATCTACGTAGAATAAAAAAACTTTTGCCTTTTCTTGATGATCCTACTCTTCTCCTTCTTGTTACTTCGTTAGTCTTATCTAGGATTGATTATTGTAACTCGCTCTACTATGGTCTTCCTGACTCTATACTCTATCCTTTAAGTAAAGCTTTTAACTCTGCTGCTCGTCTAGTTGCTCGTGCCCCTTTCTTTTCTCATATATCTCCATATCTTGTTCTCTTGCACTGGCTACCTATAAAATATAGAATAATTTTTAAAATTTGCACGTTCATGTATAAGTCTCAATCTAAATTATTTCCTAAGTATTTATCAGATATATTAATTGAACCTAAACGCCCCGGTTTACGATCGTCTTCTTCTTCTCGCTTTTTCTTAACTCGTGTTAAACACTCTTTTGCTAAATCTGCTTTTGCTTTTTCTGGTCCTTTTCTCTGGAACTCTCTACCTACTTCTCTAACTACTTCTCCATCACTTGCGAAGTTCAGAGCAGATCTCAAGACCCATCTGTTTTCAAAATTCATTGAGGAGCGCTGTTGAACATCGCGGAAATAGCGCTTTATAAGCTAATTGATTGATTGATTTGATTGATTGATTGATTGACGGAGATTACGTGAATATATAACAAAACAAGATAGGCTCTTAGACGTCTGTAGACCAGAGACGGAAACTCCAATTTTTTCAACTGGTCCTTGTATGGAAGACCTCTGCAGGATGTTCTCACACGCGTTGCCCTTCTCTAAACTTTTTCTAGCTCTTCTATTAAATTGACTCTGTAAGGAATCTATACTTGCCACCATACTTTATGTGGGACCTTGAAGTTTGAACAACGAACTTGGGAAACCTTGTCAAATTGCTTCTCAAGATTCATGTAGACTGCATTGACTTCGTGACCCTAGTCAACTCCCTCCGTTATATCTTCCAAAAATTTAAAAAAAATGCAAAATTGGAGAACGCCCAGGAGATGAACCAAAGTTGAACTTTTGAAAAAAGACCTTTTTTGATGAAATATTTTATGATATAGTCCTTTATCAGTGCTTCCCTGATTATTTGACAACTAGTTGATGTGAGTGCCACTGGACGATAGTTCAGGGCCAGGTCTTTTCTTCCCTTATACAACGGTACCACATGACTTAACCTCCAATCATCGAAAACAACATTTTCATCCAATGATCGTTGAAATAACTTAACTGAAGAAAAATAGCAAATAATTCAATCTTTAACATCAGTAATTATTTTCCTCCTACCTACCAACTCATCACGTCTGGATACTTTTTTCCCAAAGTTCCAGAACAGCCTGGGCTTATTATATTCGCTGGCAATTCTAACCTGGGATTGTTGTTTCAACTCGCTTGTTCATGTTATTATTTTTCCTCTGATTGCTCGATATATTTCTATCTTGCCTTCATCATATCAATATATAGATCTCCAGAGTAAATGCTTTTGTTTGATCAACTCTTTGAGTTCATTATTTATTGCAAATTTGATCATTTTACATTTAAAAAATTTCCATCCGCTCTCAGCATTTCTAAATAGAGCAGATGGAACTTATGTAATTTTTCAAATAATAACAAAACATTTTCTTAATTTTCACAGCACAATATTTAAAACCAGTGACCTTAAAACTATCAATAGAGTGATGACTATTTTTTGGTGGTTTAAAGTGTATAATGTTTTTAATCAATTTCTGATTTGATATCGCTAGATCCAAAACGTTTGCTGTTTGACCATCTCGAAATCATGTCGGTTGATTGATGTGTTGTAACAAAAATTTATCCTTCAAAATATTCAAAAATCTATTCTCCATCCTCTCATTAACTGAACTGCAACTGAATGTAACCTTGTCAATCTTAGAAAAATTTAAGTCACCCATCATCAAAAAATCCCCAGACATTGCTAGCCTATCATAAATTAATGATAACAATTTGTTGTTATTACATGAGTAAAAATAACTTACTTTGTGACGTACCAAACGTGACCTGTAGAATTTAACTTCATGAACCTGTTGTTCACTGTGACTTCGTGAAATGTTGCTCGCTTCTCATTTCTGAAGAATGTGTCTGGTATCCATAAGTCATGAAGGAATTGGTCGCCAACGCGAATTTCTTTCGTCTTGTTGAAAAGCGGTGGATACATGAGGCGCGGATCTCTCCACAGTTGCCTTAAATACATACTCACCGAGTAGTCCTGCAGTTTGTGAAGAGAAGTCGTCATTTGATAGATCTGCTATGTTATAAAACACAACTGCTAATTAAAAATGGTTGAATAGTCAGCGATCCTAATGGCCGAAGCGCGGGTCATTGCATAAAAATAGCCTGACTTAATTGTCTACTGACATATGCAATTAAGGATGACAAGTCGATTTTGTTTTACATTTTAAATTCTTTAATTTTAAATTATCAAAAATTGTGATATTAACAGCGAAAAATTGGTTGATTGAAAAATTATTTCTTAACACGTTTTATCGTAAATTTTGGTTTTATTGTTTGTATACACTTTGCAATAGCAGTAACGTCAACAGTTGATGCACAAGAAAGAAAAATTACATAAAAAACATGGTTTTGAACATTCTCGGAGACAACATACAACAGACAAGTGATGCTTGTTCGACATCTCATCAGTAGATTTGTCTGCGAGATCAGCAAGCGCTCGAGAGTTTTCCATTTTTTGATTATTATTTCTACAATAACTTAGCGCATATAATTATTTCATTTCGCATTAGCTCAATTTTCTATAGTCTTTAATTTTTTCTACAAGTAACTGCAGACAAAAAAGTGATAACAAATTTTTTCTCCCAAAGCCAAACCATGAATCAATCCATGAATCGGTCGAAAAACTTTCGAGCCAGTCTATTCTCTCTTTTGCGATAACTTGGTTCTTAATTACAAGATTCGTTTGTGAAAGTCTTGTTTTCATTTGAAAAAATTTTATTAAATGTTAACAAAATTTGTGTAATTGATTTATTAACTTATGAAATAAAGTTAATGCAAAGTGTGAAAATCAGCAAAATAGCACAATGAGATGCAAACGACTTGAATTTCACGTATAATAAAATAAATTCCGGAGTAAAAAGTGAAAAAATCATATTTGTGAGATATTTAGTACATGTTTTTTATTAACAGTCGTTGTTATATCAGCGTCATTTTTTAAAATATTTATTATCCTAGTTAAAACTTTCAAGCAACAAATTGAAAACAAAATATTGCATTAACTGGTTATTTGAAAAGTCAAACAATTTTCTCAAATTCAAAATGTTTAACATTTAATTTCGCATCATGTGTTCGGCTTCGAATATATTTGATAAGACGCTTTTTAAATCAGCCGTACCAAATAGTAACAAATTGGCGAATAAGTTAGTCCTACTTGCACACCTGCAGTGTTTCGAGCCAGTTAGTATCAGCTCCAGCTCTTTTATACACGCAATAGTAAAATTTGGTTCCGGCTCTTAAGCACGTGCAAGAGCATAATTAGGTAAGCATGTTTCAATTGGTCTGCAGTTATCAACTTTTGTTTGCGTTTTATAAGCTGCAGCGTTGCGAAACAATTTTGTCAGCATTTATAACGAGGAGGAGTCTTCGAACCGAAAATGTTTAGAAACGAATTTGTTATGCAACGATCAACTAGCAAATTTTTTGTAAGGTTAATGAATTGAATTTTTTTTTATTATATGTTCATTGTATTTTATTATATTTCTCATGTTCTCTCGTTTTATGCCTTTATGGCAACACAAAAATAATTCAAAACAACTTACTTTTCTTTTCCCCCCAAAGTGTTTGTGTACATTGTAAGGTAATTATTATATTTCAAACAACTTTCATTAAAAATATCAGCAATAACTCACCATTGTTTGCTCGCTGATTGAATAAAAACTGTTGATGTAGATGCCCAAATTAACTTCCGTTGGTCTGTCTAAGAAAAAATTTTTTTGAAAAATTATTAACATTTTTTATTAAAAAAAAGATAATTAAAATTTTCAGGGTGAGAGAATTTTTAAAATGAAGTTTAGAAGACAGTAGCAAGAGATAAACAAAGATTATGGAATAAATAATGAGACGAAAGTTGATTTAAACCTCGTGTTGTTTAGTTCTTAAATAAGCATACAATAAATGGCAAGATGAAATAAAAATAATTTTGTTAACACAAAAGCGTAACATAAAAATTGACATGAATCTTTTATTTAATAATTCCACTCATTAATTTTAATTCCCTACATACATGTATACAATTAAACATTGATATTTGACATTTTTATTTCATCAAATCAAACAATGAAATCAGAAAAATGAAATCAATGAAAGGAAATGATCTGGAAATCGAGAAAGAAATCTGGACTTCTTGTACTGATCACCAGTGTCAATTTGTAATAATGATAAATGAGCAGCTTTAAACAAATAAAAGAATTCAAGGTACCCAAACACATTATAAAGAGTAATTCTAATATTTCAAAACTGTTCCGAAATATAAAACATAATTTAAAAAAAAAAAGTTCAATATACCCAAACACAATATAATGTAGGTTATAGATATTTCAAACAGTAATTCTAATACTTCAAAATTGTTTCGAAGTTTAAAATATAATAACACTTTGACTAACTTCTAAATTTTGAATCTTATCTTATAGAAATATTACGCCAGAAGCACATACACTCACTCACGCGCACAAAAACACTCACGTAAACACACACCTGTTCATTCACACACACTCACACAAGCACAGCACTCATTCACACACACTCACACAAGCACAGCACTCATTCACACACACTCACACAAGCAACCACATTCGCACACACTTAGACACACACAATGCTTACATGAACATGCTTTCCCAGATAACTAGATGGTGGTGTCGGGATCTAAGTTTGTTAAAAAGTTACGTAGCTTCCTTTTAAAGAGTTGTAGGCTTTTGATTTCATGTAACTGAGGAGGAAGCAGTTCAGCCCAAATTTTTGGTCTTTGTGTGTAAAAGAATTGGGTGTGTCTTGTATGGGCAGATAGAATAGAATTGCTTGTCGTGTAAAGGTGGTCTAGAGGAGTAGGAAGAAGTTTATTAATAAATTTGAAAACAAGTATGGCTGTGAAATAATAATATATAAACCTTAATGGTAGAATATTGTTATTTACAAAAAAGGGTTTAGTATGGGCAAAAGTATTAGTATTAAAGATAAGACGTATTGAGCGTTTTTGAGAGAGCGTAATGTTGTACAAGTGACTTTTAGGACTGTTTCCCCATACAGTTATGCAGTAGGTAAGATGGGAATAAATAAAAGCGTAGTAAAGGTTTAGTAGAGCAGACTGAGAAAGTTTGTATTTTATTTTGTAGAAAATTCCAATTAGTTTATTGACCTTTTAAGAAGTTGATTGCAGGTGGTAGTCCCATGAGAGGTTATATGTCATATTGATACCTAGGAATTTAGTTGAACGAGTACGATTAATTGGATTGTTGTTAAGCAGCAAGTTTAGATCTTGGACTTGGTTAGTTAATATTTTGGGACCAAAAATTATATAAGAACATTTGGAATGATTTAGTAGCAGTTTATTTGCCAGAAACCAGTTGGATAATCCTGATAGTTCTTGGTTGATGATGTCTCGGCAGCTGTTGATGTCGTCTGGTGTAAACAAAATGTTCGTGTCGTCGGCAAATTGTACACATTTGGCTAATGATGAGACGTTACAGAGGTCATTGGTGTAGACTAGAAATAGAAAAGGACCCAGTATAGATCCTTGAGGAATTCCATTCTGGAGATGAGTTTTATTTGATTTGAAGTTATCGATATAAACATATTGAGAACGCAAGGAGAGATAGCTCTCCAACCAATTGAAAGCGATTCCCCTCACACCATACCACTCAAGTTTTTTTAGGAGTATGCTGTGGTCAATTACATCAAATGCTTTTGAAAGATCCAGAAATAGACCAACAGATAGTTTTTTGCTATTCATACCGTTTAGGACATGTTGAGTAAAGTCAAGGATAGCAAGCTCCGTTGAATGCTTGGCCCGGAAGCCGTATTGGCTGTTACATATAATGCTGTTGAGATTGAAGAAAGAATTTAATCTGATGAACATTATATTTTCCAGAATCTTGGATAAAGGAGACAACAGAGATATGGGTCTGTAGTTATTTATATCATTCAGGGATCCTTTTTTGTGGATAGAAATAATTCTGGATATTTTGAAGGTATCTGGAAAAATTCCCGTTGATAATGATAAATTGAAGATGTGGATTAAAAGTAAAGTTATGGAATGGATTATGTTTTTTATTAGGTACATGTTAAGGCCATCATCGGAGTAACTGTTTTTGTTTTTCATTTTACGGACAATAGATAGTAATTCGCGTTCAGATACAGGGTTAAGAGATATGGATTGAGTTATAGTAGGACCCAAGAGTTTTATGTGGTCAGCCTTACCCGGTAGGAGGTTGAAAGAATGTTTGATTGAAACGTTTGCAAAGTGTTCGTTCAGACGGTCGCAAATCTCCTGTTTGTTGTCAACTGTTTTGTTGCTTACAGTGAGTTTGGATATGGATGAGTTAGGCGGTTTTTTGTTTAGTGCACATCTTATCAAATTCCATTTGGCCTTGATGTCGTTGGGAGAATTACTGAGTTTATTTGTGTAATATTCTCGTTCTGTTTTTCTTTTAATGGTTGTAAACATGTTGCGAAATTTTTTGTACTCAGAAATATTGTTTGGAGTAGGATTACGGAGGCTTTTAATGAAGAGCTTGTTTTTTTTATTGGATAGTTTTTTAATATGTGTGTTGACCCAGCTTTTGTTTTTTGGTTTAACAGGTAAAAATGGAGCAAATGTATTTATCGCTTTATTGAGTATGGCATATAGCTGTGATAAGGAATCATTAACATTGTCTATCGTGATCACTGACGTCCAGTCTTGAGCAGATAACGAATGGTTGATGTCATATAAAGATTTTGGAGTCAGAAGTCTGGAGTATTTTTGTGGTGCAGAATAATTAAGTTTATTGAGGTTAGATGCGATGGTAAAAATAGAAAAATGGTCTGAGAAGTCAGATAAGACTGTTTCAGAAAAATGAGTAGTAATATTATTTGTGTAGATATTGTGAATTAACGAGGAAGAGGAAGACGTAATGCGTGTGTCAGAGGTTATAAGTGGAAAAAAGTTGTACGATTATAGAAGGTTGGAAAAAGCTGATACATGAGGATCAAAAAAAAATTTATTAAGATCGAGATTGAAGTCACCAATTAAATAAAATTTATTGGGAGGTTTTAGTGTAGGTAAGATAATTTCAAGTTTGCGTAGTAGTAGATCAGGGTTGGAATTAGGCGGTTTGTAGATTGCAATTATCTTAAGTTTATGCACATTAATTAGATAGACGTTACATGTAAGATCATTTCATTTCCCACGTGTCAATAATTCTTCTCTTTTTAATAGCAAATTATTATTATGAAAATTTCATAAATGCATGCTAAATTAAAAAATTTCTCAAAGGTGCCCTCAAAAACATTAACAAAAACTGACTTAATAGTACATAAGTTAATTATATATATTCCATGATTTCCTGAAAGAGAGAAAAAGAAAGAAGAGAGTGAGAAAGAGAGAGGAGAGAGAGAGAGAGAAAGAAAGAGATTCATGGAAGGTGACGTCGTCAGCAGCCTTTTGATTCTCATTTGGTGGCAGAGGATAATCAGAGGCCGGCTCATCAATCCGGCTACTGGAAATTTCATTCCATCGAGACAGTATTTGTTATTAGTCACATATGCATCTAATTTTTAATTTTACAAAATCATAGAACGTTTAATATTTGTGCTTAAGTGTCTGTGCTAGATGAGCTCTTGCTTTCCGATGTATATGAATCTGTTACATTAACCCGGCGACACTAACCTTCATTAACCTGATGACGTTTCAACAATTTCAAAAGAAACAACAAACTATTTTAGTTAAGTTAGGTATTTAATTATCACGTTATTCTGTGTTATTTATTTTCCTAGTCAAAGGTACAGTGGCGGATCTAGGCAACACTGACGAGGTAGCCACATTTATCAAAAAAAAGTTTAAATTTTGACGGGGGTCACGATTTGTGATACTGTGGCCAAAATTATCCTGATGTCAATTTTGTTAATTTTTTTTGTTTTGTCCCATTTCGGCATTAAACAGTTCTGTTCAAAAACTACTTCTGCTCATTCATGAATTCATGACAGGGATGGCTGTCCGCAACTGAACGCCACTTAACAACTTTACAATCAACATAACATCTACCAATTTTTTTCAAATTTCTATAATTTTACAACTGTTTGATGTTGTGTATTATACTTCTATACAAAATTTCATGATTAAATACGTAAAATAAAAAATTTATGTTACAAATTAAAACTTTTTAAACCGAGACAAAAATTGAAAAAAGCAAGATTTTAGAGAGGGGGAAGTACAAGGTGGTTCATACTTCATCGTAGGTCGCAACCTGAACCAAAGGATTAATGAATGCAATAAATTATCATTCTGTAATGAAATCTCCTTCTGGCAATTTAAAACATCTGTTAGAAAAGCAATATACTATTATGCCAAAAATAAAGAATACTAATGTACATTTAAAAGTACTTTTAATTAAATTACGAAAAAAATAAAGTTATAATTTTTACTGCGAAATTTAATGCAAAAATTTATCATACACGAATATCGCTTCATTTTAACAACAGTCAATTTTTAATCTGAAGTTTATTATTGTATTCCATAATTGTTGACGGCAATTAATCTGGCTCAACTTATCTTCAATTTGCAGCTTCATATTCCCTGAACCAATCAAAAGATATATATAGCAAATAGTAAATATTTTTTGCGATGCAACGCTGCTGATCGAGTATCCTTTTGCAGCCAAAAACTTGGATAGTTACCATGAACATCGATCGATATTTAATAAAAGACGTATTTGAA